GCGGGGAGCCGTCCTCCGGGAAACCGGGGCCCCCGCGAGCAAACCCGCCGGGGCTGCTGCTTTGCTCCCGATGCCCCTGGTCTGCTGGAGACGGTCCCCAGCAGACCAGGGGCACTGGGAGCAGCTTTTCTCGCCCGGAGGTCGAGGTGGCTGACCGCTGCCTGCGAGCTCCGGGGCGAGAAAGCCCCGTTCATAAGTGTGGATCCAACATAAGTTGGATCCGCGTAAGTCGGGGACTGCCTGTATAGGGTTGACCATGAATGGCTATATCCAGATAAATACTACCAATGTCTCATCTCCGCTTGGTCAGTGCAGTGGGATAATTATCCTGATTATTCTTTTCAGTGAAATAGCCTATGGATAACACATTTTTTAACTCTGACTTCTTGTAATGCCCTAAATCTGTGGCAAGAATACTAGTTACTACTTAAGTCTAACAAGTCCTTTCTTAAATTACTAGAAAACTTCCCTTTGCACTCCATTTCTTCTAGGCAGATGAATTGTTTTCTCTTACTATAAACATAAAAGTGTCCTCCTCTCCAGACATGAGGCGAGCTGCCACATACACCTACCCTATGTACTGTACCTACTCTCCGTGGGCTCCAAGAGAAATTGTATGTGAAGAAAACTATATGGAGGTAACTTATCCATCAAAAGCTATAACACTGAAGTTCTCTGCAAATCAGTGCACTCTCTAAGCTAAGACTGGCACGAGCAGTTTACTCTACACTACCTATATCGTGGGATAAGGAAAAGCTCTCAACTTGAGCAATAGGGACATTTGCCAGTTTCACATATGTACTACAGACAAAGTGCATCTGCTTAATAATAGATTAAAATTTGTAAAGTTCAGTATTTTGGGTATTCCTGATCTGTAACCAGTAACAGTCAAATACTGCGGGGACTGCCATATTTTGTGCCACTGCAGTGGGAAGCATATCTGTTAACACTCCAATTAAACAGGGAGCTTTCATGAGGAAGCATATCTGTTAACACTCCAATTAAACAGGGCAGGGAGCTTTCATGCAAAAGTGCTGCAACATCCAGTGAAAACATGTTGCTCTTCTTGGTTTGGGATGGTAAAGTTTGGAGGTAAGCCCTCTGTTTTACAAGACTAAAATTCTGATGCATCTCAGGAATTTTATCAGCAAGGAGGACAAACTCCTGCTGGAGATGTCAGAGGCATCCAACTGCCACAGGAGAACCTCGCACCAGTCCACCTTCATATACCTCCTTTTATGTATTGGTTACATAAGTATATCAGGGACAAATCTGCAGTTCTATAAGAAGTCTTTTGGGACTTGAGATTGTCCAGTCTCGTGCTAAAATGTCTGGTGCAGACAGTGAGCACTTTGCTACACTTGAGTGGCAGCAGTTTACTACTACTGTATCCAGATCTTGCTTTCCTGTATGGTAAGAGATGGTTAGCATTGCACCTTGCGTGATTACTAGGAAATGCATTATGTGCACTTTAGTCTAACTGGCTGTACCCTGAGTTCCAAACTTACCCAGGACTGGTCTACATTACAGCTGGAAGTCAACCTGCATTATGCAAGTCATGTAACTAAAACAGACAACTTTGGTCATCTTACAGAGGTGTCTACTGCATGCTGTGTCAACAGGAGATACTCTCCTGCTGACTTACCTTACTCTTCTTGGGGAGCTAGAGTACATTAATCATCAGGAAAGCACTCTGCAGTCAACTTAGTGGGTCTTTGCCAGAGCTGCTAAATTGACACCACTTTATGGATTGCAGCAAATCCTATCTAGCTGATAGTATAAACATAGCCAAACACCCATTGTACTCCCTGAAGCACTACAGAATTAACCCTACCCTCAAGAACACACAGTTCACAGTAATCAGCAGTTGGCTATGAAGATTGTAACTAAACTCTTGTAAATATATGGAGCTGTAAAAGACCTTGAGAGGTCATCAAGTCCAGTCCCCTGCCCAGACAAAGTACCATCCCTGACAGATTTGCCCCAGAGGGATTGAACTCACAACCGTGGGTATAGTAAGCCAATGCTCAAACCACTGAGCTATCCCATGTAGCTTGATAACACTCTTCATACATCACTGAGACACTAATTCCTTCAAAGCTCCCTGCCTCCTCAGGACATAAAGGCATGCTGTATTCATGTTTGCCCAAAATCTCTTTCTGCCCTATTTCCAGGTGTCAGTGAAGACTGATGTTCCTGCAATTTCAGATGATGATACTGCAACATGGATGTCAGCTCTGCCAGAGGTATGGAGGAGCATGTTTTCTAATGACTTTTCCCTGGCTCCTCTGCTCTCCTACATAGATCAATGGCTTGGGTGACGATGCTGTCATTCTTGACCTCTGACATCTAGAAAAGCATGAAAGGCAGAGATGCTCTCAAGGAAATGCAAGTCAGCCTCCCAGGAGAGGAGAACTTTCATAGATAAGGGACACTGTGCAAATTATAACAAGCTCACTAGACTACAGAAGAGAAAAGTGGATGTAATAACAAAATATGGCCATTTGTATTAATTTTATTCCTTAAATTAGTCTGGCATTTGAGCTATAGGCTGCTCCAACAATAAAAGCACACTAAGGGAGTGAAGTTACCAAAAGCAATGTTTTTTAGGGTGCGTCTGTACAGCAGGGCTTAACTCAAAATGAGTTACACAAATTGAGGTACATCAATTGCATAGCTGATTTCGAAATTGGGAGTGTCTACGCAGCACTTATTTCAAAATAAAGCACTCTTCCTCTGACTTCCCTCACTCCTCGTACAATGAGGATTACAAGAGTCAGACAGAGTAAGAAGTCTTCCAGCTTGACAGTATTTCGACATTATTTCAAAATAACTGCCTGCTGCATAGACGTGGACTAAGTTATTTCAAAATAACATTGCTGTTAGACAAACCCTTAGTGACCAGTCCATGGACTGGCACCAATTCCTGAGATCTCCCTGACACAGTTTAGGAAGGCAGCAAGCTGGTCCCTGGTATCAAAAGGTTGAGTCGCTCTGACCTAAAGCACTAAAGGGCCTCTCAATTGTGGGAACTCTTTCAGGCCCACAAATATAAACTAGCTCCAAAGGTAAAGATCATGTGGCTTCTCTGGAAGTTGGCTGCAAAAGCTGCATGCTGCCTTGCCTTCATGTAAGGCATGTACACTTCCGGCTTGGGCTAGGCCAGCAGTGTCCTCAAATGTTATTCCCTTGAGCCTAAATCTTAATGACAGAATAATTTGGTTCACTTATATCTCATCCAACTATGTTTCTCTTTCAGGTTAAAAAAGTTGAGTACCAGGTATGGCAACTGATCTTTCTTTCTCCTTCAGGGAGAAAGAAAATAATGGTAAGCGATGCAGCCAAGTTGGGTTACAGCTTCAATAATACCCTGGCTCGAGTGTTCCTCCGTGCTCCATATTCCAGTAATGAATCCAAACTTACAGTGGTGAGTGGTAGCTCTTATAGTGGGACTCAGAGTAATATTGTTTCCACTCTCTCTTTCTTTCTAGCAATAGTTTTTCTTATCTTTCCATAGGCTAATGGTGTGAGTATGAATACAGTCAGTTCCACTTCCATGTACAAGCAGAGATGGTTGCTTCTGTTGATTGACACTACTGTCTCATGTCCTATAGGTACGAATCGCTTCACAATTTACCAAGATTACTAAGAACAGCCACATGAGCAAGCTAGTAGAAAACGCTTCCTTTGGGCCTACCTGCAGCTGGCTGTTCAAGAGAAGCAATGTAAAAACAAACCTATCCTAGAGGTGTTCCAAAGTAGGATTTCCTTAATTCATTTTCTCAGTTCTCCCTCACCCTTATACCGACCTTTACAAAAAGGCAATAAGCCATCAAAAAAGCTGTATCAAAAAAACTTGCAACTGAGTATCAAGACCAAAAAAACCCTATTTCTACCACTGGGTTGGGAGTCATATTTAGGTAATGCCTAGGGTAGAGTTGCAACACCAAAAGAAGGTGAGATTTCTTGTGTAATAAAGAATGGGAAGTTGTGGAGTGTCTTTTAAGAGGGAAAGGAGATTTAAGAGGAAGGTGCCTAGCATGGCTAGTGAGTATCTTTGTAAGAAAGTAGTAACTCATCTGACATTGATCAGACTACTTTGAATACCAGGTTTTCTTATGACAAAATGGCCATTGTTGAGGGATAATCTCTGCTAGATAATTTATGCTCTCGTGATGTCCAAAGAAATACCTGGATAGAATGGGAAGATGGGATGGAATGGTAAAGAAGAGGAGAAGGTGGCGGCAGCTGTTATGAAATCAAGCTCAATCCTGCTTCTTTAGAAATACAAATTCTTGCACTGAAGAATGGTCTGATTATCTGAATCAACAGATGGCACCAGCTTCTCGGATACTGCTATAACTTGGACTGTGCCAAACATTATCCCTACACTAGTGCCTCAAGGATCCACCTTTGTAACCCAAAACATTTCAGTGGGAGTCGATGGCCAAAGAATAATGCAGCCTGAACAGAACTATATTCTGGAACACAACAAGACACACATTCAAATTACTATACCCATTGGAGCCCCGGAGGGAAGATTAAAGGTTAGTGAGAACCTATCATAACTTAACAGCTTAATGGAAAAGGTCAAAAACTTCCAAACGGTAGTCCATCAACCCAGTTGCTGGTGGAGACATAGGTGCCAATTTCCTCTCTAGCTTGGGAATTCAACCCCTCTGCCCCAGATGCTGTCCCCACTCCACCCCTTCTCCCAAACCTCTGCCTCACCTCTTTCTGCACCCCTCCCCCAAACACATCCTGTTCCCACTCCTTCCCTTCCCGCTCAGCAGCTCATGAATGCTGCAAAACAGATTGGAGGCAGGGAGAGGGAGGAGCTGATCAGCGGGGCCACCAGCAGGCAAGAGGTGCTGAGGGGAGGGAAGGAGAGGGGGAGCTTGGATGCTCCAGTGGATGCTGAGCACCTGCTAATCTTCTCTGTGGGTGTTGTAGACCTGAAGCACCCACAGAGTCAGCACCGATGGGTGGAGATGTGCTGTATGAATGATGCTAACTTCTTCCAGATATTAAAGTGAATTAAGAGTATTAAAAAGCTATGAAGGTCTCAATAGCTGTCTCATCTTGAGCAAAGCCGGGGTATACTTTAGAAAGGCTTAGGGAAAGTCAGTCCCTGATTCTTGGTTGCCTGCCCAAATATAAGTTTATGCTTAAATTGCCCTCTGAAGCTTCAACTGCAATGTACATGATGCCAGCAAAGAATCTACCATATTCCTAACTGTCCTGCCCCTTATGCTGGGCAGTGCAGCTCCTGCACTGGGATGGAGCTGATGCAGTGTGTCTGCAGGATACAAACTATCTTGGCCAACTCTAGCACATTACTAGAGTGGAGGATAAAATGGGAGACATTCTTCCAGTCATAACAGGGAGTTGGATAAGACACGGTGACATGGAACACCCAGAATGGAGAGCGGGACACAGGTCTGTGTGTCAGGAGCAACCACTGTGGGGGTGTGATACACAGAAAAAGTCACGGACAAATGGGAAAATCGGGCGCTTTCTGACTTTTTTCCCAAGTGTGACAAACCTGCAATCCTATCCATGCTCAATTCTCCTTGGTCTGAAATCTTATCTCCTAGAGCACTGTGGCCAATGGAGTCCATGGAGTAATCTATAGTATCAGCTTTTTCTTGGATCATATCTGGACAGATGTAGACTGGCATATGACCAAGTACACTGTGATCAAGCCCATCACTACACCTTTCTTGCCTCGAATACCAACAGTCATCAACAGTAAGTCCCTCCTGTGGCTAGCTCAATAGTAAGGACTATCAGCATCAACAGGAGTGCCCCTCTCCATTCAAATTAGCTGTCTTAACTAGACCCACTAATTTGAACCCTGGAAGATTGACAGCGGCAGCTTCAATGTCCTCTGTGGTGTAGACGTACCCTGACAGCTGACCTCTCAGTCTTAGGCATGCATACACAGACCTCCTGATGCCTTCCAGAAAACAAGAATCAAATCATCGCCTTAAAAAAAAGTGATTTTATTAACAAAACAAAAAGATATACACGATAAAGCTACTTGGTTGCTAGGTGTTACAGAGCAACTGAGAAAAAGAACAGATTAAAACAGAGAAAATTGTATTTCAGGGCTACAGCTTAGATACAGTGAATTGGGGGGGGGGGCACATGGACTTAGCAAAGAGAATTTTAACAAAACAAAGAAAATAACCTGATCATGACTAAATATACATTTTCCTATCTACTCATGATCCATGCTTCAAGGTCCTGTCCATTTCCATGCCCAGTATTCCTTGTAGGTATGTTCTGCCTGGTTCAATTCATCTTGTTTCCTCCAGCTCCTAACTTAAACCCACAAAGAAAACAGTAGGCAGGTATATCTTTTCAATTCAGATTTCAACTCCCTTTCCCACTGGCTCTCCTGGCTCCCTGCCAACACCCCCTAGCTACCTGAGTTTAACCCTTTAGTCACCATTGCTTCCAGCACTTCTCCTATCCATCACCGACACTTTAATATAGTAGCACTACCATATTACATATCCCAAATATTTGTTTAGTCTAAATTCCTTGACTGTAACACAGGGATAACTCTTATAATAGATCTCTAGAAAGTAAGGCCTGTTCCTTCAGGCATGTTGTGTTTATTTAATCTTCTATTTGCAGTAATCATATGCTATCAACCTAACAGATACTCTTCCAGAGAAGAGAACATTTGATGTTGCATTTGGATCCTTTCTTCCTGATGTGTCTCTGGTGACAATCACAATAGGAAATGTGCCACTTTCCCCAAGAGAGGCAAAGCATCATGGGTACAATGTTTATGAAATTACTTTTCCCAATGGAACAAAAGGATTTAACTTAGAAGTTCCTTTTGATGACCCTACAGTTCTAAAGGAGGTAAGATAAGGAAGCTATGAGGTAGAATTCAGGAGGAAACTGTTCTTCCCAGCTCACACATTTTCAAGTTATTGAAACTTTACTGTCCTGAACTGGGTCAAAAATCTCAAATTTTCATGAACCCCCAAATCTTTCAAGGTCAAGCTAGTCAAAACCCCGCCCTTACAGTAACAACAGGCAGTGGCAGCTTAGCTTAGCTGTGCTGCTTATGTACCCATGAAGTTCAGGTGGGTTTGTACACAGTACGGGTAAGCCATGCTACTGTCCATTCTTCTGTAGCTACGCTACTATTTATATTCTTACTAGCATAAGTATATGTGTGCTAGATGAGAATCACACCCCTAGCACATAGCATAGACGGAGCCTAAATTTTAAAAAATAAAGTAATTTTCAACAAAACACACAGAACATTTTGGGAAACATTTCAACAAAATATTTTGACATTTCAAAAAGCTTTAGAGTCAAAATTCACTGAAACCAACCCTTTCCTGCAAACAGGGATGGTTCTGTTGAATCATCATTTTAACTTCCAGCACTTTATTGGAAAATTCCCAGCCAGCTCTGCTATGATGTTAGAGAACATGACACATCTGACTAGGGTCCTATCTAATTCACGATCATAAAAAACACATCCTGGACCATAAAATCTGGTCTCCCCTCTGGAATCGGGCTAGTGGAGGGGGATTGCTGTATTGCCAACCTTACTTCTGTGCTGCCTTCACAGCTAGATATCTGGAGAGGGGCAGCTGCTGAGTGGGCACCTAGCTTTGAAGATAGCCTCACTGTCAGCAGCAAAGCAGAAATGAGGGTTTCAAAGCATGGGGGGGCTGTCACTTTTGGGGGGACAAGGCTGGCCTTATGGGTAGGTACTGTAGGCAACCATGCCAGGGCACTCTGGTCAGAGGGGAGCAATGGTCACCCTCACTTTCCACATACACAGCCAGCCCAAGACCCCTTTAATCCAGAGAATTGGGCCCAGAACTAGGAAGGGGCAGGGCTGGTGGACCCTACCATACACCAGGCTCCAAGTGCTAGTCCCTGGCTGGATAGCAATGGGACTTCCTCCTCCCCAGCACAGGCTGTTCCTAGGGCCAGGTCAGATCCACCTCAGTGAACCTCTCCCAGAAGCAGAAAACTCTGCGGCTACTGGCTGAGATCCAAGCTATGAAGGCAGTGCTGCCACCAGCAGCAACACAGAAGGGTGGCAATATTACAAGCCCCTCCACACACACAAAAGTCATGTGACCCTCCCCCACACAATCCCTTTTCAGTTTGGATCCCCACAGTTACAAAACCTAAGGATTTTAAAATTCCATGGCCATTCCATTTACCAAAATGGACCATGAATTTGGTAGGGCCCTAATTATGACTGTCGTGTGAACATGTTAAGGCAGCCATTGTTCAAAACATACATCTGGCATTACTAACCACCAGTCACACAATGCCAACGAAGGTATCACCAGCCTGATCAGAATTAACATTCTGTTTGAAATGTCTTGAGCACCTGCCTTGCAGTATAACAAGACTGCATGAGAAAAGCAACTTCAGGTATGACTAAACTTACAAACTGTGGCTTCTTCTGATGTTGGCAAGGGTAAGAGTCATGCACAGACTGTACAGCTGTAGGACCTTATCCAGTATATTAAATAACTACTTGTTGGGATGGGACTGCCTACTTCAGAAAAACACAATGATCATTTATTGCCATACTGCGGTCAACCAACATCAAATCATTCATCAAGCTGCTTTTTCCATAATGCAGTTCAAACTATGAGTTAAGCAGCATACCAAGTGAGTAAATGCTAGGCAGATTACAAATAGATATCGAAGCCTGGGGTTGGATACATTTGCAGCACGAGTTTGTAATATGGTAGGGATGGGCTATTCTCCTTTTGTATGAAATGAGTGAGGAAGGAAAGGCCCTTCAATGCAATCTTGGACCAGCTCACACAGGGCTGTTATGTGAAGATCAATGTTGTTTTCAGTTGTGGAGAACAAAAACAGGTGTGCAGGGTAAGTGCATTCTTATCTGAGCTGGAAGCAAATGCTGCTGAGATTTCACTTTCTTCTGACTCTCTTTCAGTATGTGAATAGAAATGAAACAAAATATACCCTCCGTGTTAATTATACGCTAGATGTGGGTCCTGAAAAGAAACAATATAATCATCCAGCAGAAGTAGAATGTGTGGTTGCTGATATTGGTAAGCTTCCTTCAAGACTGGCTGATACTAGTATAATGAGGGCAGGATTTTCATTGACCACAATGGGAACCAAATTAGACCAGTGAGGAGAGCTTTTGGGGAAAATCCCACTCTATAATTGCTCATTACTGACAATAAAGTTAAGTTGCTTTTCAGATGGCAGCTCTTCTTCATTCTGTCAAAGATAATTGAGATACTAAAGGAATAAAACCTAGTCATGGGTCAGAAACCATTTTTTAAAAGAAATGGCAAGTCGAGGCCAATGAAAAAAGTCAAACTAACCAAAGCCAGTCAACTCCAGTATGTTGCATATACTGGTAATATTTTGCAGACCTTGATTTTGATTTATCCTATAATATAACCTGCTTTCACATCCAGGATAAAGTTCAGTTAGCCCAAACACTGCTCTATAATCTCTAGAAATGGCAAAATTAGTCCAAATAGGTCAGAGAGTCAACAATTAAGACCTACTGTATGACAGTCTCTCCAACTTCTGGATTTCACAATGTGCCTGGCCACAAGATCCTTCTGATCCTTCATCTTAGGGCATGCTTACACTTGGAAATTATTTTCAAATAGTTAGTTCAGGAGTCATTTACTTCAAAATATGCTTATTCACCCAGGAAAGCAAGGGTACAGATTTCAAAATAACCAGCCTTAGAAATATCCAGTTTGGTAGAGTGGATGCGCTGCTTATTATTTCGAAATAATGCCCTAGTGTAGGCCATGGCTTAGAAAACATGTTTTGGGTTGGGCTGAAAGATGGCAGAGATAAAATAAAGCCCAACTAGTCTTACTAAGGTTGGAGTTTATCCTTAAGTCAGCTGGGCAGCTGCTAATCATTTGGGACTTTCAGCCATATCTTGTATACAATACCTTACCGTCTAGCAGTAGGGATTTAGTACAGTCTATTGTATCAATACAAACAATTTTTCCATGATAAGAATAAATACTGTAGCTGAAACTTGTATATCCAATCTACATCCTGGCTTCTTTCACAGAACTACCAGAAGCAGTTGGCTATTGTGATAAAGAGAACCTGTATCTAGCAGTTCCCATTTCAGCTCTGCATCAGTATTGGAATCTGTACGTTGGTAACAGACCTCTGAATCAGCATACTGTGCTCTCAGATAGGTATCTCCTGACTACCAATTCTACCCATCTGGTGTTGCAAGTACCTCTGTTTGCTATGGGGATTGTCTATGAGGTATGCAGACGATATTGTAAGGCTTTGTTATCTAAAAGGTTTCTTATCGTGAAGGAAAGGCTATCCACCCTCAGGCTTGCCATATAACATTACAGTAACCACTTCTACTGCAGAAAATATCAAGGGAAAATAAGATTCCAATAAGTAAATAAAACCACAACAAGAGATCTGACTTCTAACTTATGATTCCACTGCATTTATTTACCCAGTGCAGTGGCTGAAATGGTCCCCCAGACCTGTGTAGCAAACACAAAATTGTCAGGTGTTAAGACTCATCCATATTGGGTCAAGCACTGTGTTTCAAAATGATTCTTAATAAAGAATTTCTGCTAATGGAGTGACTAAGCTATAGTTGCATTTAGCTCATGCAAAAATCTACATTATAATACAAATCTAGGCTACTATACAATCGCCAGTGAAGCATTTGGGATTATGCCCAACTAGTCTGCACCAGTAAACTTGACTTGTGGCCCATGTTGGATCAGGCTTAAGTCTTCGCGATTGTCTCAAATGTTATATCTTCATGCTTGTCTCAGATGTTATATCTTTGCTAGTGTTTAAAGAGAGCCTTCTCTCTATGATCAGTAAACTATTTTGCCTGGAGAAATATTGTCTTTTTCTTTATAGGAAGTGTCCTTTCAGCAACTCAAAGCTAGGTTTGACCTTGTACTCAAGAAAGCAAATACTCTGGAGACCATAAAAACATTCTCTGTGAGCTGCAATTTCAATTCTTCAGAATTTATAGGTAAGCGAGATCTAGGTATTGCTCTACAAAATGGAATGTGATGCCTTTCCTCAATTTAACAGCCTCTCTGACTGTCTTAGTATGCTACCCTAATGGAACTGTGACAGTCTCTACCCCTATGAAAACTATTCCTTCTATTGACATGGGCAAAACAAAACTAAAGGACAGCAGCTGCAAGCCCAAAGAATTTAATGAGGAAAAAGCCTTCTTCCAATTCCACGTTTCCACTTGTGGCACTTCACTGAAGGTAAGCCACTGGAAAGAGGGTTTTTTCCCACTTTCTCAGTAAACTCAAATTCTAATCAATTTTTGGCTCACACAGTTTGAAGGTGATCGCCTTATTTATGAAAATGAAATATCTTATGAGAGAGAGATTCTCCCAGCATGGGGACCGCCTAGAATCACAAGAGATCCAGATTATAGGTAGGACTGCTGCTCGCTGACTCCACTCACTTCCTAGGCACTCTTACCATACTATCTCCAATAGTTCTCTTATTTTAGATTGACAGTCTTGTGCTATTACCCAACAAAAGAGAAACTGACCCATACTGCTGTGGTTAGCAACCAACCTGCAAATGGATCCCCTCCTTTTGGCTATGGTACAGTGATGGTGAGATCAAATGTGTCAGGTAGGTGACTTTATTTCCCTCCAGTTTAAAACATTTGCATGACTTGAATGCTTACAACTCCTAATCTCAAGGGTTTAATTGCATCTTAAAAAACACCATTTTTAATGTTTATATTCTGTAGGATACAGGAGGACCAGACAAGCTCTGAATATAATTGCAAAGGTATCCAAAGGTAAGATCATAGGTGAGGGAACTAGAGGTGAGGGGGAATAGCTGAAACGCCCCTCACCTGAGGTCCCTGCTGCTGCCCCGTGCCCAGGTCTTGCACCTGGGGTCCCAGCTGCCATCCCCATCTCCAGGACCTATCTGTGTGCCCATCCATGGCTGTGGCCCAAACCTAGGCCCTCTTACCACTGTCTGGATCCCACCTTCCCATAGACGCAGCTCTGTTCCTAGCCCCAGGTCTGAGGGGAGGAGTGGACAGTGGTAGAGGGAGCTTTTTTCAGCATCCCCACTATTAAAAATATTCCAGTGCCTCTGTATAAGTTTTCTTCTTTAAAAACTAGGATTGTATCAAATGGTTCTCAAATTAATAAAATTCCCAAACCCATTCTTTTCAAGATGAATCTTTCATGGAATTCTATGAACCAAATATGGCAATAGTTCAACCTGCCTTGGCACCCATGTTTTTTGAGATAGAGCTAAAAGATGAGGAACCCAATGTTGAATTACACTTGAATACTTGCTGGATGACTGGGTCTTCAGACTTCAACAGCACCTCACAGTGGAACATTACTGTGGATAGGCAAGTAGAAGTAGCTTTAATGACCAAACTGATCATCAGAAGCACTTTTTTAACATCTAACTGTGTTGTTGCTCTGATCTCTCAAATAGCTGTGGGAACGAAAACAACAAATCTGTCACAGAGTTCTATCCAGTCTCTGTTAACAGGAGAGTGAAACATCCCCCTCACTTTAAAAGATTGGCAGTAAGGATGATGATACCTTTGCTAGGCCAGGTAAGATTAAGAGAAGTTAGAGAATCTAGGCTCTGAAATGATATTCTAACATTGCCTGCTCTAAATAGAGGAAATATATTTATACTGAGGAACAGACTTAAACATGCTATTCTAAATTCCTCTATTAATAGGCCCAGCTTAAATGCCTGAAAGGATAACACCAAGTTTGTGACTTAGCTACCTGGGGGACGACTGACAGGCCACTAAGTCTGACTGATGGATACTTTAGTTTGGCTGGTTTCTCAAAAGCCAAAATTTATCTTGCAACACAGTTTTAGTGTCTTAATGTGGTACTTGCTGGACTAAACTAAAAGGCCTGGTATGGGTATATAATGCTTATACAGTTTCTGACACTTATTTTTTATAGGATCAGATTCTTGGTCCTTCAACTCAAATGTTTGGCACAAAGTCAAACAGGCAAACCAACCTGTGCCATAACAGCCATATGAAATACCACTCAGCTCACGTGTTTCTATTCCATCCCATCCAACAGCCAACTTAAATGCCTGGCTAGTGAGGAGTATGATGTTTCAGATCCCTTGGGATACCAAATGAGATTCTGAGATACCACTGGGAGAGCCTATTCTTTCAACCTGGACCTCGCTTTAACCATGTCTTGCTGAGCCAGGCACTAAGGCTTCCTCTAGCAAAGCACACAGGCAGAACCATTCCCAGCTGAATAAAATACAGACAATGAGAACAGCTGTGGGGAAACTAGGCTTAAGGGATTTACTCCAGCTCCCAGATGTTCACAGCCCCCTTGGGGACCAACCCAGAGTTATATGAAGTTTGCCTGCTTCCTCAGTGTGTATGCATGTCTCTCACCTCCCTCCCATTAGAAATTATATAAACTGGGTTATATGATAAACTAGAAACAAGATACACCTTTTCATAGTTAAACTGCAGGCTGTGTCTACACTGGCCCCTTCTTCGGAAGGGGCATGCTAATTTTGAACTTGGGAATAGGGAAATCCGCGGGGGATTTAAATATCCCCCGCGGGATTTAAATAAACATGGCCGCCGCTTTTTTTCCGGCTTGGGGAAAAGCCGGAAAAAAGCATCTAGACTGGCGCGATCCTCCGGAATAAAGCCCTATTCAAAGTAGGAATAAGAGCTCCTCCGGAATAGGGCTTTATTCCGGAGGATTGCGCCAGTCTAGACGCTTTTTTCCGGCTTTTCCCCAAGCTAGAAAAAAAGCGGCGGCCATGTTTATTTAAATCCCGCGGGGGATATTTAAATCCCCCGCGGATTTCCCTATTCCCAAGTTCAAAATTAGCATGCCCCTTCCGAAGAAGGGGCCAGTGTAGACACAGCCACTGTGATTAGAGAGCTAACAAACAGAGCAAAATTGATTACTAAGAAAATAATACAGAGCACACAATCTAAGCTAGAGTCACTAAAGAAACTGGATATAACTAATAATGTCTCACCCTAGAAATTATTTCAGATAGAATCCTGCATTGGCTAGGTGTCATCTTGGCCTGGGTCCAGCAATTCTTCCTCTACCCTTTCAGCTATAGACCTTTTTGTTTTGGGGTGTTTTCAAGTATCTCTTTGGGATGGCAGATAGAAGAAAAGCAAACTAAAAGCCATCCTTGTTTTCCTTTTCTGCCTTACACAGAATTTCCTTAAAGTAGGAAACCTTTGATTCCCCCCAGCCTTATGTAGAATAGTTCATCAGACCAATGACTTGGTTAGTATCAGGTGAGCAGGTCACCTGACTCTACAACATCCTTGAGTCAGAAGCAGTATGGTAGGTCCCTAAGAAGAACAAGTGAATGCAAAGTCCATTGTACTAACTGATGAGCCATTAAACCCTGTCTGGCTTTTCCATTGCATGCATACAAATGGGATAATCACATTCAGTAAATCATAATCTTGCCTAGGATACCTTACATGAACCCTCTTGCATGAAGCATTGCTCAGTTATGTCATTCATATTAGAAGCAACTTTTCATAAAGCATAAGGAATGCCCCGTCACAGGGAGGGCAGAGGAACAGATGGATTTGGCAGCAGACCTAGAATGTTAATCTGTGTCTCTGGCAAGCCTGGGGGTGAAGGAAGGAAACAGATGACGGTCAAGGGTTGTCCATTTTAGGATGCCTTGCCAGTTGCTCTTCCTACTCAAAGTAGCTGCTTCTGGTAACCAGGGCCAAAAAAAACTTTAGTCCTTTCAACCTCAGGTAACATCTCACAAACTCATTAGAAACCAACATGAGGCCGTTTATCATGAGCTTCTTAATAAGCTGCCTAGTGGGTTAAAACCTCCTGTCTCAACCACTCTCTTAGAATCTTTTTTGTAACACAGAACTAGACATTCAATGACAGATTTGACAGAGGTTGCCCTGTACAAGCATAGATTTGGTAAGTGGTCGGGGAAAGGTAAAATTAACAAATAGATTCCTTACCAACAAGTTGTTCTTTCTTCTCAGGTGCATTTGCACTGCACAGTCATGGTCTGCTCTCCTCCTAAAGTATCATCTGGCAGCACTTGGACCTGTGGAGGCCAGTGTGACCCTACCAAGAAGAAAATGGGTAGGTTTAAACAGGGAGAATTTGGCTATACTTAAAATACTCTGGGGTACATTTTTACAGGTAGCAAGGTACCTCAATACCTTTCAAACTCTGATCCTCTATGTTAACTGGCTCCTGTGATATTGAGCTGATAGTGTAAAACATGAGTACTTCCCAGCTTCAGAATGTCAGTAGATTTAAAGCCAACAGAGTACAGTGTCTATGATCCTTTAGTCTGTCAATAATATTCTTGTAAAACTTTCCAGGTGAGCAGTCTGAACCAGAGTCTGGTCTCCATGGTTATGTATTGGCCGGGCCAGTCTGGATTGTTGATCCTGAACCAACTAAGGAGAAAAACATACAGACTAAACTAGGTAAGTAGGTCAGTGGAACTACATCTATTTATAGTGGGGTCTAGAGACCCTTTGTGGGTCTTTTACTTTGCTCATGTAGAATCACATAGCAAGGTGGGGCTGTCTCACTATCTGATGAAGGGCCTATCTGTTCTTGAAGGTGATCAGAACTATGGCTTGTTAGAAGTGAGAACAGACTCTCAGACCCATGACAGAATTGCAAGGCTGACAAACTGCAAATTATTAGTAAACCCTCTGTACAATGACTAATGGAGAAGTCTACAAAAATCAAGCAACTCAGTAACATTTTTCCTCTCTTTCAGATGCTGATGCATAAACATAATGGCCATAGCTGGCCACTGAACTCATCCTGTGTCATGTCGTGGCTGCTTTATTATAATTTCATAAACTGACTTTCATGAAGGGGTAAAGTGCAAATCTGAAACATTGGCTAAGAGTATTGTTTCAATACACACAGGCTACTGTAAATGAAAAAACAACAAGGAGTCCTGTGGCACCTTAAAGACTAATGGATTTGTTAGGGCATACGCTTTCATGGATAAAACCCACTTCATCAGATTAATGGGAGTGGAAATTACAGAGGCAAAGAGATTATATATACTAGTGTAATAAAAGAAAGAAGTTACTTACCAAGTGTAGGACCAGTGTTAATGAGGCCAATTTAGTCCGGGGAAGAGGAGGATGTGGCTCACTCACACCAGCTGATGGATAGGTGTGAATAGCAAGAGAGGGAAAATGGCCTTTGTAGTTTGTCCTTCTCTTGCTATTCACACCTCCCCATCATCTGCTGTGAGTGAATCACATCCACCCTGACTAAATTGGCCTGCACTTGATAAGTAACTCCTTTCTTTTGTTATATTATTACTTTATATATATCCCTGCCTCTGTAATTTCTACTCCAATTCATTTGATGAAGTGGATTTTACCCATGAAAATAAATAAATCCCAAATAAATCTTATGCCCAAATAAATCTGTAACCCTTCTGCCGGGTAGGCCCGGCAGCAACCAGGGCCGGGTTCAATATCTAGGGGTCCAACTCACATAGAACTGGCTTGAGCCCCTACCCAGTACCCTAGGAAATTTACACACCCATGGGCGCCTCTGCGAGGCAATGCTTCTCCATTCACAAGCACAGAGTCTGCGTGTAGAAAAGAAACATTTAATGAAACAGAGAGAGAAGTCACATGGCATTAACTTGGGAAAATACTACAAACAGAGTTTATAGCCCAAACCATGAGCAAAGTCCAACACCCCAAGGTTATGTCTACGCTGGCAGAAGTAGGAATAAGATCCTCTGGAAAAGGGCTTTTTTTCCGGAGGATCGGGGCCAGTGTAGACGCTCTTTTCCGGCTTTTCTAAAAGCCGGAAAAAAGCGGCGGACATTTTTATTTAAATGCCGTGGGGGATATTTAAATCCCCCGCGGATTTCCCTATTACGACTCGTGAAATTACCATGCCCCTTCCGGAAAAGGGGCCAATGTAGACGTAGCCGTTGTGTCTACATCTGCAAAAACAGCAAGGAGTCCTGTGACACTTTAGAGATTAACAGATTTGTAAGCAGGGGCTGAATTACTTCGAAGTAGGAATAAGATCCTCTGGAAAAGGGCTTTTTTTCCGGAGGATCGGGGCCAGTGTAGACGCTCTTTTCCGGCTTTTCTAAAAGCCGGAAAAAAGCGGCGGACATTTTTATTTAAATGCCGCGGGGGATATTTAAATCCCCCGCGGATTTCCCTATTACGACTCGTGAAATTACCATGCCCCTTCCGGAAAAGGGGCCAATGTAGACGTAGCCGTTGTGTCTACATCTGCAAAAACAGCAAGGAGTCCTGTGACACTTTAGAGATTAACAGATTTGTAAGCAGGGGCTGAATTACTTCGAAGTAGGAATAAGATCCTCTGGAAAAGGGCTTTTTTTCCGGAGGATCGGGGCCAGTGTAGACGCTCTTTTCCGGCTTTTCTAAAAGCCGGAAAAAAGCGGCGGACATTTTTATTTAAATGCCGCGGGGGATATTTAAATCCCCCGCGGATTTCCCTATTACGACTCGTGAAATTACCATGCCCCTTCCGGAAAAGGGGCCAATGTAGACGTAGCCGTTGTGTCTACATCTGCAAAAACAGCAAGGAGTCCTGTGACACTTTAGAGATTAACAGATTTGTAAGCAGGGGCTGAATTACTTCGAAGTAGGAATAAGATCCTCTGGAAAAGGGCTTTTTTTCCGGAGGATCGGGGCCAGTGTAGACGCTCTTTTCCGGCTTTTCTAAAAGCCGGAAAAAAGCGGCGGACATTTTTATTTAAATGCCGCGGGGGATATTTAAATCCCCCGCGGATTTCCCTATTACGACTCGTGAAATTACCATGCCCCTTCCGGAAAAGGGGCCAATGTAGACGAGCCCACACAGCTCCCCCTGAGTATAGTAAATGAGTAATTACACACATGTGCCTAACATGATCCTCACTTATGGCTTATTCCCTGTAAAATTTAACTGAATGTGCTCACTTCTCTCAATAAAAAACTGTCAGCCTGGACACTGATCAGATTGGCCTAGCTCTAAGTCAAATCTCCTTTCCCACAGTCTCAATGTAGTAAAAAGATCTAGGCAGTACTGCTTTACAACGAAGGGTATGTCTCCCCTTGGCTGGCAAACCATAGCCAATTGGAGCATCTTGCAGCCCGTCAACAGCTTACTCAGATGGGCCTGCGACCCAACTTTGAAAACCCCTGCCATAGAGGGTATCCTTTGGGATGTGCCCATCATTCATTCAGCACATACGCCTAAGCCTGCCAAGGTGTCTCTATTTGAGTAGTTATGGGCACCACAGTGTTGGTGACTCCGCCCATCCAAGAGATCCTAAAGATTTGACAAAAGCAACACAAACAAAATCTGTTGAATCTCTTTTCCTGGTGAGAGAGTAAGCAGTGTGTGTCTCACTCCCATACAAAAGTATGTTGCAAATGTAACCCACACACCTAGGCTACGTCTACACTGCAGGCTTTTTGCGCAAGAACAGCCGTTCTTGTCCAGGTAAATTTACAGTACAGTGTTGGAAAATAGGGCTTCTTCCAGAAGAATTATTCCTCTCCCCATGAGGAATAAGCACTCTTGTGTAAGAGCTCTTCTTCCAGAAGAAGGCAGTGTAGACAGGCAACATGAATTTCTTGTGCAAGAAACCCCTATGACTAAAATGGCCATCAGAGTTTTCTTGCGCAAGAGATTGTCCACATTGCCATTGATGCTCTTCCACAAAAGCACATGGCAGTGTGGATGCACTCTTGTGGAAGACCTTTTGCCCAAGAACTCTCGCACAAAACAGTTCGGCTATGTCTACACTTCCGGCGCCTACCTGGTCCTGCGCAAGATGTACAGTACGGCATGGTAAGAGAGGGCCTCTTGCGCAAGAGCTCTTGCCAAGACAGCTTACACTTGTAAGAAAAGAGCGCAGCTCTTGCGCAAGAAGCACAAGCGTGGACGCTCTCTTGTGCAAGAAAGCTATTTTAGCTATAGAGTTTTATTGCGCAAGAATCCCTGCCGCGCATTCACACTGCCATGGGCACTCTTGCGCAAAAGCACATCTCACACATGGCAGTGTGGAAGTGTTCTTGTGCCCGACTCCTTGCACAAGAACCCTTGCGCAAGAAGCCACCAGTGTAGACATAGCCTTCTTGTGCAAGAAGCCTGCAGTGTAGATGTAGGCCTAGTGTGGTTACTGAGCAATGCAAGTGGTACCTAGACCACAGCAAAAGTTAACAGCTCAAGAGACCTCTACAGCATGGACTGGGAGGTACCTGGCTTTTAGCTCAGAGGGTAGAGGCTCCTATACTCAGCTCCAGAGCTCCTAGGTTCAAATCTGCCCGGTGGTGATTACAAGTGGGGGCTTGTCCTGGAGCTCAACTAGATCTCTGAATCTTCGGACGTGCTTCCTCACCTAGGGGAAGTATGTAACCCATACACCTAGGCTGCATCTAGACTGGCAACTTGCCAGCTGTCTACACTGGCCACTTGAATTTCCGCAAGAACACTGACGATCTCATGTAAGATTGTCAGTGTTCTTGCGGAAATACTATGCTGCTCCCGTTCAAGCAAAAGCCCTCTTGCGCAAATGCTTTTGTGCAAGAGGGCCAGTGTAGACAACGCGGTATTGTTTTGCGCAAAAAAGCCCCGATCACGAAAATGGCGATTGGGGCTTTCTTGCACAAAACCATGTCTAGATTGGCACGGATGCTTTTCCACAAAAAGTGCTTTTGCAGAAAAGCGTCCGTGCCAATTTAGACGCTCTTTTCCACAAATGCTTTTAACAGAAAAACTTTTCCGTTAAAAGCATTTGCGGAAAATCATGCCAGTCTAGATATAGCCCAAGGCTATGTCTCCACTACAGGCTTCTTGTGCAAAAGGTCTTCCACAAGAGTGCGTCCACACTGCCATGTGCTTTTGCACAACAGCATCCATGGCAGTGTGGTCGCTCTCTTGTGCAAGAAAGCTCTGATGGCAATTTTAGCCATAAGGGTTTCTTGCGCAAGAAATTCATGTTTCCTGTCTTTTTGTGGAAGAGCTCTTGCCCTCTCGTTTGGGACTGGTCAGGTGCTGGACCAGAGAGGTCCAACCTGTACTTTACTAGTAGACCTCTATAAAAGTCTGTTCCCCAGAACTGGGATTATCTGAACAATGAATAACAATCTTCTTACTCAAATATTCTCTACGGCTACGTCTATAATGTGCTGTGTTGCATAATAAAATATGTAAATGAGGCAAAGCGCTAAATATTGCCATGCCTCATTTGCATACTTAATGAGCCGCCATTTTGCACAAAGAGCTTTTTCACAAGAGCCGTTCTGCCAAAAAAGTGGCAGAATGGCTCTTGCACAAGAGGGGGGGGTTGCGCAAAAATGGAGGTCTGCTGACTAGTCCCAAATGAGAGGATTTGCCAGATCAGAGGTCACCTGCTACCAGCTCCCCATACCACCTTCCTTCCCCATTGCTAGCCCCAGCCGTGCCACCATATTGCTACAGCCCCAGCAGCCCGGACTGCCCTGCACCCGCTATTAGGGCTGCTGCAGCTGCTGCATTTCCAGCCCCGGCCCTGCTATTGGTGCTGCTACATCTCTGGCCCTGGCCCTGCAACGGGGGCTGCTGCGGCACCTGCTGTGCTCCCGGGGCTCTGGCACCAGTCCCAGCCCCGCTAGGCTCTGAGCCGCCAGCCCTCTTGCCACTGGGGCTAACCAGGACTGCCTGGTCCAGGAACATCCGGGGTCCTGCTGGACCATGGATGTTACCAGATGAAAAAGTCCCGATTTTGGAAGGTCAAACCTGTACTCTGACAAACATGAGGTCTGCCTGAGGAAAGCAGGCAATGGCTTTTTGGGGTGTTGTAGGAGACCTTGAAGAAAAGGCTGTGAATTTTTAATTTCTGCAATGTCCCTAGTGGAGAGAGCCCATACCAATCCAGGCATGTTAGCAACAATCGCCTGTAGGATGTACTGGTGCCACACCATGATAGGCAAACACTTAGTCAGGGCTCTAAAAGGAGCAACCAATATCACTTCAGACATTCTACAAGAACTTGTAAGTTTCAGGCAGAGACAACATGTAAAGTCTGGTAAAGGGGCAAATCGCAGAGTACCATATACCTCTCTATATTGTCTAAAGATTACATTGTATTCATTTTACAAGTTGAGGGAGATTTTCTGAGTTACATCTGGAAACACTATAAAAATACAATTTTACTGCCCTCTGCTATTTTTATGATTCAGAAAGGATTAGGAGTAGCAAATATTTCAAACAGTTTACTGACAGAGAGAAGGGTGTCTTCCTAACACCCTTTTGACAGACCTGAGTGGCTGAAAATACCACACAGCAAGGCTTAATTGCTTCAGATCGAAAAAGCAGATGGAGTCAGATTGACTGGCAGCAAAGACATCTGGATACCTTATAAAGTTATTGGCCAGAGATACCTGAAGAATTTAAAATACAATACAAATGCAATACATTTGCCAGGGAAGCTCGTGTCTTGCTGAGAAAAGGAAACACTGTGAAAAACTGCTGTGTAAGGTTATGCCCAGTTCATCAAATCATTCCTATAGTGATGATGCAAACAGGATAAAAACTCAACAACAGCATATATAAAATGAAACGTCTGTGGAAAACTGAGTGGATCTAGCATAAAGGTTCTGTGAAGGAGGGGGTTGTTTTCCAAAACATACATGTTAAGTCTCTGAATTTTTTTTAAATGCATGTGTGTTGCATATAGAAAGCACCTGTAACTGACAGGCATCTACCTGAACTTCTCCCATAGAGTACCTCTGTAGTTCATCCTGTTATAAACTGGAGCACCAGTCTACCACACACTACTCATGATTGCAATGTAAGCAGTGATTTGTACTCATCATCAGGCCAGGAAGTATGCACCAACCAGCTTACATTTTGCTACCTTTCCCTCCAAGTGCAACTTTGCCATTCTACCACTTTTATATTAGATCGCAAGGGGGGCAGCCCTCCTGCTTCCCACCATGTTAACATGAGGCACTTGCAAGACCCTTTCCTGTGATAGCCAGTGGTCACCCACTGGTTAATGACTCAGAACATTTCCTTCCCAACAACCACTGTCTATTCACCCACAGGCACACAAGCAACATTGTATTTATTTTTAAAAAAAGCTACAAGAGATCTGCACTCCTATCTTGCCAAAGCTTACTACTCCTCCCACAGACCAACTTCTTCTGCTCCATGCTCTCCCCTCCAGAAGCTGCAGGCCACTTACCCTTTCCGTTCTCCAGCACATGCTTGGCATTTTGGGATTTGTAGGCGCTCGTCTTAGCAAAACAGCTGTGCAATTTTTGGCTCATGTCTGGGAAGAGCATCTTTTTTAGTCACTGGCACAGTCATGATTACTTAAAAGTTGTTTGCCTAGAGCAGTCTTATCTGACCAGTTTTGTACTTGCTCTTCCTAACACCACCTTCTAATTCATTTCCACATAGGCAAGCACAAGAAGAAACACCTAAACAGAAATAGAATATTCATAAAAATAATGTATGTATCACTTGCTAGTCTTTTTGTCCCAGTTATGAAATGGGAGCCTGCCATAGACAAAGCAGTCCTCACTAAGACACACCTTTCATGGGGAACACAATGACTACAGGGGTCTTCACCTAAAAACGTAAACAGAAACTCTGCAGTATATGGATCCTACTGGCACAGTAGGTCTGCTTCTCCACCTTTAAAAAAAGGGGAAACAATGTCACAAAACCTAACAGGGGTGTCAGAAGGCTATAACCATTGTCCATGAAGCACTATAGGTTGTACAAAATTGTGTCTACAGGGTATTGTGCTCACTGAAACTGCTTTAATGGTTCAGCCCAGAGCTGGAAGCAGTTTGTATAACAAAAGTAGTAAGGATGGTAGCCAGAACATAAATCAACTTAAGGGCTAAACTTCACTCTCTGCTGATTGAGTATGGTATGAAACTTCATTGGAATGATTTCTGAGCGTCAACAGGATGTGACTTTGCATTTGTAAGGAGCTGTGACATCTTCCATGAAGCAATACAGAGTATAAAAGGAACATTAAAGTGATCTTATTTATTTAGGATACATTTCAAATTGATACCATACTTGCAATCAAAACCTTTTTTTAAACTGGAACTTTATTGCTGTGCACAACACAATCTCATAACAGATCCTATGCTTGTGACTTGAGTTGCTGCTGCTTCTGTAGTCCAGTCTGAAATAAAAGATGCACCATTGTGCCTTTACCCTTGTGGCTAGTTAGATCACACTAGATTTAATGTAATAATTTTTTTTTTCCAAAAACAGAAAACAAGCCAAAAGATATTTGCCTATGAACAACTCAAACAATTACAGTCCTTGTGCTTTCCGGCATGATACAGAAATCAAAACAATATATCCATTTAGTATCCTTTACTCAATAGTCCGTTGCCTTTGTGATGGCCATACTGGAAATCAATTGGCAGATGTTATATTCCAGCCTACTAACATACTGTAAAACAGTTTTAATAATGTTAAACAGATTATTTCTACTAAAAAGCTTCAAGTATTGAAACTTGCTATAATTTGTCCATTTCCTTCACTGAAGACTTATTAAATAAATCTGTGCAAGAGTACATGTAAACATTTTTAACAGACTTAAGTAATAATTTCTGAATTGTCCACCATCTTTGTATATATTATAAATATTTCAACACAGAATGACCAGCATCATAGACAGGTTTGACACTGTGCTTTTGTCCAACATTGCAATTTCAGAACTATAAAAGAAAATCTATAGTTTACTTGGCAATTATTGTACATACCTACTTTGATTATTTATCTAAACCAAAAAGTTTCTTTTCTCTAGAGCAAGATAAATTAAATGTAAACAATCTTGTGTTTTATTCAAAGACTAAAATCTCAAGATAATTGAGTGTTCAAGAAAGCATTTGTATGGATCTTGTAGGATTTTTAAGAGGCCCTTCTTTGTTTTTCTTCTTTATCAAGAATAGTCTGTTTTAGACTTAAGGAAGCATCTTCAAATTCAGGGTTTAATGCTAGAACTTTCTTGAAATCTTTTAAAGCCTCGTCATAGTAACCTGTGCCAAAAAAAAAAAAAAAAAAAAACCCACGCATTACTTATCTCTGCATTCAATCAATTTCACAAACCAAAGCTGAAGAATGATTCCTGATGGTTTTACAAAACAAAAAACAACACAAACCCCAGAAGATTTTGGGCATTGTGTATTTGAAATTTTAAGGCAGTGGTTCCCAACCTGTGGTCTGCAAATCCCTGGAGGACCGTGACAGTACTGTAGGGGGTCCACAGAAAGTTTAAAAGTAAGGATCGGACCTACCGTTTCTCTTCTCTTCTCTCAGGCAGTTCCGCCCCAGGGCTCTCTGTATGCGACTCGCCACATGTTTGCTGCCTCCCACCCTCGGGATGGAATCTAAATGTGCCAGGAAGCACCATCTGTCTTCCTACCTTCAGCTGTGCTGCTGTTTATGCTCCAGCTCTCTCCCTACTCCCAATCCCTACTTTTCCTTTCCTTTTTTTTCCTCCCCCAGGGGTCTGTGCATGGCCAAAGACAGAGTGGCAGGGCAGGAGCTGCCTTTGGCCATGAGAACCCCCTCGTGGATGGGCAGGAGACAGCGGGGGTGGGAGCTGAGGAAGCAGCACGGGTCAAAGGACATGCTGGCTGTCACTCCCCTTGTGGGGGTCTGTAAAATATTAACAGATTGAAAAGGGGTCTGTATGCTCGAAAAGATTGGGAACTGCTGTTTTAAGGTATAAACTTGTAATAGGTTAAACACCCCAGTGGGGCTGGGCCAGGGAGAGGTGCTTCTCCACAACTGTGGCAGCTCTGGGCTGGATTGTGTCAGGGCGCTATTCCCCATCCTTGACTGCAGCTGGGGCTGGGGCACCAGTCTCCTCTTATGGTTTCAGCATGTCTGGCTGGGTCAAGGTAAGGGCATTGCAGCAGGTCTAGAGCCTGGGGAGAGGCATCTCTCCCTGCTGCAGCCTTGAGCATCTCCATGGTGCTTAATAGGCAGCTGCACAGCAATATGGCTGGAAGCTTAGAGGGACCTTAGTCCATGTGCATAAATAAGTCAATCTGCAAACTAGAATTCTGGGGGATTGGTTTTCTCCATCTGACATGACACTGATTTCATGTGACCATAATTTCTGTAAATGGTGTTAATCTTCTCAGTCTCGTTAGTTTGAATAAATCAGTTCTTATTTATCAGATATTCAACCTAGTGCAAGTTCTAAATAAAAGATGATAAACAAATGCTGGGACACCAACTGCGATACCAGTTATAATGGCCAAATGGGCTGATGGAAGTGAGGACTGAAAACCAATTTATTATTTCCTTGCTTTTATTGGCTTCTCACACTTTAATATTGTGTGTGTTTATAAGAACATAAGAACGGCCGTACTGGGTCAGACCAAAGGTCCATCTAGCCCAGTATCCTGTCTACCGACAGTGGCCAGCACCAGGTACCCCAGAGAGGGTTGACCGAAGACAATGATCAAGCGATTTGTCTCCTGCCATCCCTCTCCAGCCTCTGACAAACAGAGGCCAAGGACACCATTTTATCCCCTGGCTAATAGCCTTTTATGGACCTAACCTCCATGAATTTATCCAGCTTCTCTTTAAACTCTATTATAGTCCTAGCCTTCACCGCCTCCTCTGGCAAGGAGTTCCACAGGTTGACAATACGCTGTGTGAAGAAGAACCTCCTTTTATTAGTTTTAAACCTGCTACCCATCAATTTCATTTAGTGTCCTCTAGTTCTTCTATTATGGGAACTAATAAATAACTTGTCTTTATCAGCCTTCTCCACACCACTCATAATTTTATAGACCTCTATCATATCCCCCCTCAGTCTCCTCTTTTCTAAACTGAAAAGTCCCAGTCGCTTTAGCCTCTCCTCATATGGGCCCCGT